CCTCTCTTGGGAAGCAGAGGCATAAATGTGAGGGGTGTTTTCACCATTTTCTTTTCCTAGTTGGTAGGTATGGCAAGGGGGGCTTTGTTGGGGTTGCTGAAATGACTGCTGAGGAATTTACCATGTCCCTTCCCTCCCATCCCTCCCTCTGTACCCTGGTGCCTCTCCCTATCTACTGAGACCAGCCTTAATTTATGCTTTCTTTTTGCTTCTTTTTCTTTCTTCCTTTCTTTCCTTTTTTCCCCTCTCTCCCTCCTTTCCTTCTTTATTTTCTTCTGTTTTGTTCATTCATCTCACCACTTGACCAGTCCTATCACACACTAAGATGCACCCAGATTTTGCTGCTGGTTGACTCCCCAAAACAAAAAAGATTCCTTGGATTAATTCCAATAGTACTCAAGCCACTTCCTTCCAGAGAAACAGACTGATCCAGAATTGGGTAATGGAATAAAATTGATCAGGGGAATCCCCTATATTGCTGGGAATGCAATGGCAGCTCCAATGGGAGGTCCAGGCCGCTGTTCCTTTCCATGGTTTCGGGCAATCAAAACTTGGTGATACTAATAAATTCCTTGACATTTTGTTTCACGGGAAACCAGACAGTCAAATCCCCCTCTTTAATCTGTACACAAGCATGCAGTTGGTCAGTGAGAGCACTGGTGTGTGAACATGCTGGTGAGTTCACCTTGCTCTCACCAGTGAATTCTCAGATCCTCTGGCATGGGATGTGTGCTGTAACTAAAATTCTGAAAATATGTCTCAGTATCACCAACTAAATGTAAAGGGATCCTTTAATTGATGTGTACTTTCCTGGGAAGCATCTGTATGATTTGTAATGGCCTTTTGGGGAGCTACTTCAAAGGGCAGAGACAGAAATCTTTTTGCTCTTCAGTACAGTGTAGTTTTGTATTTCTCTATGGGAGCTCAAATTAGGAAAATGGTAAACTGTAACCATATTCTGGATTAACATTTCAATTTAAAACTTTTTTATAATAATCAAAGGAAACTCCTTTGTATAATTAGTATGAAGTTGTAGTTTAAAGAAGCAGATTGGAGATATAGATGATTTAACCTATGACATTACTAGAATAAAAACAATGAGATAGGGGAGATGAATATGACCAAAATATATTATATGCATTGGATCCTCTCAAAATGTGAAACTCAGGAGAAGGGTTAGGCAATAGGGCAGCTGGAGGGTGAAAATGGTCAATGCTATTTGCATTTGTTAATTTGCCAAAATGAAACCCATTATTCTGTACATTAAATATGCATTGATTAAAAAAGATGTGAAGCAAAAATAAATCATATCTTGGGTGTATCCCTCTTGAATGTCCATGGTGTATTACAAATACACTTTTAAGTGATTGAAAATATTGTACAAATTCTATTTTTTAAGAAAGAAACAATGAGTTCTAGGAAACCAATAGAAAAATGGCCAATGCCCTGATTGATTTTCTTAATGAGGATTATGTTTTTTATGATGACAGAACAGGAGATTTTGTAATCCTCAGCAACTTTAGAAAATGTTCTAATGCAAAACTGACTAACATTATTACAATAATGGGATAACTAAGTCATTTTAAGAGTCTGTGTTCAAATTTGAAGCACTCTGCTGGTCCAGGCAAGGACACTGAAAATTAAGTCCTGGTCAAAACTGTTGTGGTTGGAGTCAGAATGAGAAATTGAGTGGGTGCCTGGGTCAAAAATAAGAATGAAATAAAATTCAGAAATAAACCAGCTATTTTCTGTGTTAAGAAAATCTCCAAGGAATTATCTAGTTTTGAACTAGAATGTCTTAGAAATCAAGAGACAAAAAAAGGACTGAGTAATTATTTTCTTTGCTGTGATTCATTAAAAAAATTCATAGGTTTTACAGCAGGATCCATGATTTTAAAGTCTAGAAGAGACCTCCTTTGCCCTTTTGGATTTTAGCTTACATGACTCTCTGTCAAACCTAAGGCACCCCATAAATTCCCATCTATAGTGTCTTTTCCCATCAGTAATACAAAGTGGAATTTAGGGCCAGTTTACAGGGTGACATTGTGGCTAACAAATTATCTATACCCAAACCTGTTGTGAATACTGATTGAATACCATGTAAATTTTCTACAGAAAGAGCTCAAAGGGACTGAGTTTAAGTTGTGCAAAGATTTGGAGAGACAAATAGCATTTAGGTACACTGCTGGCTTGATCACTCTGAAAGATTTAATGCATAGTTGCACTAAATTTGATTTTTAAAGTAAAAGGCCATTTCTGTCAATGTGAAATGTACAGCACATGGACTGGAAGAACACCTTAATCCTAGAATGGTAGAACCCATACCCGGATGACATTTAGGTATCATCTGTTATAACTCACCAACATTCCAGATGACATCAAGGATAAGAAATAATAAGTGACTTGACCCAAATCGTGTAGGGGTACATGGAAGAACTGGGGAGGGGGTCACCTGGTTTCCAAGTTTAGTGGCCCTTCTGTAGTAACCATCCAAGAAACCATATTGCTTCATCCATTTGTGCACAAGGAAAGGATTCTAAAATCATCACCGATCCATCTATCAATCTCTCCATCCATTTATCCATTCATCCATCCATCCATCCATCCAAAATATTGTCTATTAATTATTCTTTCTGTTTTGGGCATCCTGTGGGAAACTAAGGATACAAGAAGGAAAGAAACCATCTGTGTCTTCAAGAAGTGAAATCTGTTCTTCTTTTTCAAAATTATTCAGTTTTTGGATTTATTTTACCTTTGCATGTAAATTTTAGTCTCTGTTTGTCAATATCTACAAAATATCATAAATACTATATTTTTCCTACAGGTAACATCCACTTTTATTCCCGGTTTTAGCTATTTGAGTTTTTCCCTTTTTGTTGGTCATTGGAGGTAAAGGTTTGTGAGTTTTGTTGATTTTTTTCAAAGAACCAACCTTTGGTTTCATTGATTTTTCTATTCTGTATTTCAGTTATTTCCACTCTAATCTTTGTTACTCCTTTCCTTCTGCTTGCTTTCAGTTTCACTTGCTCCCCCTTCTAGTTTCTCAGCATAGAAGTTTAGGTAATGAACTTGAGATATTTCTGTTTAAAAGGCATTTACAATGGCATTTATAATTTTCCTTTTAAGTACTATTTTAGACATATCCTATAAGTTTTCATATGTTTTATATTTGTTTTTATTCATTTCAAAATATTTTCAAATTTCCTTTGTGATTTGTTTTCTGAACCATTGTTTAGTGCTGTCTTTTCCATGTATTTATAACTTTTTCAAATTTATTTTTATTTATTTATAATGCTACTTTAGAGTGGTCAGAAAATTTTTTAAACATAACTTTAATCAGAAATGTGATGAGGATTGAAATATAACCTAACATATTAAGTTGCATCTTAGAGGATGCTCCATGTACATTTGAGAAGAACATACTCTGTTGTTTTGCTTAAAGTGCTATGTAGGTGTCAATTGAGTCTAATAGTTTATAGCACTCTAAGTTTTCTATTTCATTGTTCTTTTTTTGTCTGTTTTATCCACTAAATAAAGTGATGTATTTAAGTTTTCAACTATTATTGTCTGTTTTTCTTTCAATTCTGTCAGTTATTGCTTCATAAATTTTGGGGCTCTGTTATTAGGTGCATATATGTTTATAGCAGTGATGTTGTCTTATTGGATTAGACCCTTTTACTGGGTAAAAGGTACTTCTATGTGTCTAGATATGGAATTTTTTCAGCCTGAAACTGGTGTTTTTATTGGAAATTTTATTCTAATGCACAAGTACTGTTCATGATCCTCAGCACTAATAACTCACTGTAATGCTTTCTGAACCAATCATTTAAAGGCTTGTGTACTATAACATTCAAAACTTACTCATATAAATTCATACCCCTAGAAGGAATGGTTAAATCTATTTCAAATGTCTTTGCCTGCTTTCTTAATTGCTTGTGTCATTTGACCTCTTAGCATCCCAACCCAACCAGGTGGTTGAAGTTATTTCAGGCTAACTTTTTTTTTTTTTTTTTTCTGAAATAACACTGTTTGTTAAAAATAAAGTATTGGAGAGAAACTTTTATAACATGAGATGCTCACACTGATTTAAATATAATAGAGGTCCTTCTTATTCAATAAATAACTTTAGGAGAAAATAAACTTGCCTACTAGCCAAGCATGCATAAATTCCAGCTGTATATACCATTGTTTTCACTTTCATGCTATAGAAAATTAGCAGATCACATACCATGCCGTACCTGCTCCTTCTTCTTTTCTGACTTGCTGTGTTTTGAGAATTGCCCACTCAGAATGCTGGCCTTTACTAATGAAGATTTGGTGCGGGGCATGTGGGCTCCAGCTAGGTACATAGTTTGGTAGTTAGGCATCAGGAGGGCATTGGAGGGGTCTCCTGATCTGCACTCCATCCAGACTCTCAGATCACTAACAGATTAGTTAGTTAAGCAGGGCTCTTCAGAAACAAGAGAAGCACAGCTCCATTCTTCATAAAGATTAATTATCTTCAGGACATCAAAGGAGTATGAGTCATTCAAGAATAGTATCATCATTTCTGGGTTGATTTCTCCTGGGCTCTAAACCCTTTGGAAGGCATTTTTAGAGTGTGCTCTCTCCCTCTCCCTCTCCCTCTCCCTCTCCCTCTCCCTCTCTCTCTCTCCCTCTCTCTCTCCACACACACACACAGACAAACACATGGGTGGGTATAATTCACAATGTCCTACAATCTCAAGGTTGGCAGGGCCTGAGACATTCTCTTACTTTATAATTGATGAATCCTGTTGCATTCACATGGAAATGTGTCTGAAACCAAGGATACAGACTCATTTTTCAATGTGTGTATCCAAACGTGACTGAGAAAGGCACATTTTGAAAAAGCAGACCATCTGGCTTCGAAATACATATTGAAAGTACAAGTGCCAATGAGATTGTCAGCTATGCACTGGCTTGGGACTTTGAGTTACTGACTGTCTGTTGTGCTCTTCCCACTTATCTTTTACCCCCAGTCCTCACTCTGTCCTTTTAGGAGATGAACATGAAGGAATGAAGATGTCTCAACTGGATAAAAAAAGATTCAAGGAGACATGATACCTGTGAGTTGGAGCCTGTGATCTGAAAGAGATTGTCAACTTAGTTTGTGTGATCGTAAGAGATAAAACTGGGGCTAATGCAAATAGGTCATTAAGATTCAGAGCTGTTTTGGAAGAGCTTTCCATCAGGCAAAAGTGCCCAAAGACTGCTTTAGAAAGTGGTACACTTCCTGTTTCTGGAGACTCTGGAATATAACCACATTATCATTTATTAGTTCATTATTTAGTAAATTTATATTTGGAACCCAACTGTTCCAGGGTCTGTTATAAGAACTGGGGAAACAGCTTTGGTCTAGAGAGGGCTGTACTCTCACAGAGTTTCTACTTTAGTGGAGGCTGCAGTCAGCAAACCAGGAAATTGGTGTATTTATAAGTCATAGATCTGTAAATATTTAGCTGCCATGGGAAGGAAAGGAAGGCACCCAACTCCCACAACTTCCAGGATGGGTTAGATGGAATTGAACATCACCTTGGATGTTCGTTTCCTAACAATGCTGGGAAAGTCTCCTATGATTCAGTAGCAGGAAATTCCTGAAACTTTACTGCCCAGTAATTAAAGATAACCAGGACACTTTAGGTTTAGTTACCAGGAAGGCTGGTGAAGGGAACACTATGGGATTCTGAATGTTAACTCTTGACCCAGGGGAGCCAAGTTTTGGAAATCAGCAGGAATCTTATTTGCTTTGGGTTTTCAGTACAGATTAGACTTTACTGTTTTTGGCCAAAGGTCAAGTGTATTGATTTTTAGGGGAAAGTTAGGTTTAAAAAATTTATTTTTAATATCTGGATTTCTTCTAAAAACAACCTTCCAAGATCTGTCCTGGACTCGGGGCTTTTTGGCTCCATCACCCACCCCTAGTGTTGGTGGGCATGAGGGCAGTGAATTCTACACACATTATTCGCTATTTTTTTGTATTTTTTAGAGCCAACATTTAAAATTGGAATGTTTTATTTTAAAAAATCTAGATTTAGAGTGTTCCTTGGAAAAGTTGAAGATCTGTCAACAAAGGGCACCTTCTTGTGATGTGACATCACCTGGAGATATGCAATAATATCTTTCTCTAGATGAGGCACGAGTGCTCCTAGTCTTCATCATGTCTAAGCAGCCCTCCACTATTTCACTGTTTCTGTCACTTGCATGAGCATTGGAGGTGAGTTTTTGGAGTTTTAAAAAAATTTTATTTGGAGTTTTTGATTCTTTACCTATGCAGTTATTGGTCTGGAAAGTGGAAATGTTTAACAGTGATTCCTTTATGACCCTGTCAATCATCAAATTGAAAATAACAGGTATCATTGAACCTTAGACTTTCAGAACTGAGAAGACATTTAAATTTCTCCTTTCCCCTGAGTCTGTATCCCAGTTGTACCCATGGATACTAGCAAGCCCAAAGGACACTTATCTATGTCACATGCTGAGTTTGGGACATCACTGACACTCTTCAGAGAGTTGTTCATACACAGAGATCCCATAGTAACCAAAACAACCCCAGGTCTGTATTTTGAAAGATTCATTTCTCTACTTGTATACACTGGAGAGGAAGAAAGACAATGAGACATTTTGTGTTCTTTATCACATTTGTTGGGGTTTTGATAATAGACTTTAACAATCTTCCAGATTAAAATATTTAAATGTTTTACCCCAACCATTGTCTTCTGGAGTCACACTTGCCATTTAAGTTGGAAACCCAAGAACAATCTTAATCTCTTGGGCAAAGGTCTCAGGGGTGCTGACACTGCAAGGATTAAACTCTCTTCATGTCTCCTTGGGTGCTGGAAAGGAGATTCTCATACTAGTAAAAATGTGGGGCCCATCCTTTGCATGAAAGGGTCTCCTTTACATTGGATTTCTGTCATCACTGCATGTCAGCCACTGGAGTCAAGAAGGAGGCTTTAGTGGTCTCTGATGGCTCTCTCAGGAAGAATGTATTATAAGATGGACAATCCATTATTTCAGGGGGCTGATTGTTGCTGTCTCATTAATAATAACAATAATACCTCTAAACAAGCAGCTACAGTTTTTGAGTGTTTACCAAGTGTCAGGAACTATTTGGACTGCTCCATTTATGATCTGATTTAGTTCTTTAAACAACCTTGTAAACGAGGTGCTGTTATTATTCCCATTTGACTGGCATAGAAACTGAGCCACAGAGAGGCCAAGAGATGTGTCCAGGGGCCTCTCACATATATGCTACAGATGGGATGTGTCTCCGTCTCCAGAAACCAAGCTTTTTACCAACTCCATTGTTACAAGGCAGATTCAGAGACAAGATGCACCTTCTGAGATTTTCTCTCAAAACATCACTTTGTGGATGAAACCTCTTAACTCTTAACATTCTGTATTTGTGCTGCTTAATATGGTAGTCATGAAAGACTTGTGGCTATCTAAATTTAAAGTAATTAAAATATGTAATATTAAAAATCTAGACCTCAGTCACACTAACCACATTTCATGAGCTTGAAAGCTAAGGCCTACTGTACTGGACAGTGCAGATGTAGGGCATTTCCATTATCCCTGGAAATTCTGTTGGAAAACTCTGTTACAGATGAAATTGGAGACTCGGAGAGGCAAAGACACACAGGGAAACCCAGAACTGAAAAATGTCTATTTTATTTTTCACATCTCAGTCCTGCCACTTGCTCATCATTTTTTCAACTCTGCAATTAGATTTTTTTTTAACACAGCAGAATAGATGATTTATTGTACAGGTGTTGCACTCGCCTAAAACTGGGAACAGAACTGGTCCCGAATGCCACAGGTCCAGGGCAAAAGACCCATAGTACTGCTTTAGTTATAAACAAGGTGGGTCTTTGTGACATGGTCTTACATGGTCTTGGTGATCAGACGGTGATGAAGTTCTAATCCACTGGGACACATTCTAGACAGTAGCATGCAGCCAAACAACTTATACCAGGATCCTCAGCTTTCAGTATTCCTTATTTCTGCTCCTTTGGCCTCCATGGGCATACAAGCTATTTTACTAGGACCTCTGCCTTATCTTTCTTCTTTTGTGCTTCACCCTGCACTCTAGATTCTTCCTCCATTTGGCCCTCATGGTGCAGAGTTTTCTAAGAAGACGGCGTTAAAGCCAAGAGCTACAATTAGATTTTAAGTTTGTCAAGGGAAAGTAGCTTATCTTTGGTTTTATTTGTGCATCATGCTAGGGATGCCCAATCCTTTGCCCCTCCCAGGCAAGCACATAATAGAACTATTGTCAACTCTCTCACCTTTTCTTCCTCGTTGTTCTTTTCAAAATGGCAGTGGATATCTGACAAGACTCAAACCTTAGTTTTTAAGCAAAATGTGTTATCGTAGTTTATTATTTTGAGCTAGGAGGCTTCAATGCTCAAGCAGAGACATTTTTTTGTTTTTGTTATTTTGATGTTCTGGGGATTGAACTCAGGGGCTTCATACTGAGTTACATCTCCAGTCCCTTGTTAAAAATTCTGAGACAGAGTTGTGTGAAATTGCTTCGGTTTGTGATACTCCTGCTTCAGCTTTCCAGAGTGCTGAGGCACAGAACGGTTTTCATTTGAAGGCCTCTGAGAACCAGTATGTCTGGCATGGGGAGAGGAGGTAAGTGGCAAATTTATAAGGGTCTGGATCTTATAAGGGTCTGGAGGTATCTTTGAGATAACCCATGTAAAATATCAGCAAAGGGCCTGAGAGTCACAACTATTGCCACCACCTTGTAAATTAGTTATCTATGATGGTCATTCTGGCTAGACTGGAAGATCCTCGAGGGTAGGTTCATGTCCTTCTGGGCCACTGCTGTGTGATTGAGTTTGGTTCTCACCCCCTTGGCAGGTACCCAATAAATGTCTGCTAAAGCAAGGAAGCATTATCTTAGTCCCAGAAAAAGCTTGTTTTCTAAAGAACGTAGTGATGTAAAGGCAGTACTCCTTTATCTGCAGGGGGTACATTCCAACACTCTCAGTGGATGCCTGAAACTATGGATTGTACTGAATCTCATACAGACCATGGCTTTCCTGTGCATAGATGCATATAATAAAATTTAATTTATAAATTAGGCCTGGTATGAGATTAAGCATAACTGCTGATAAAACAGAACAATTGTAACAATATACTGGAATAAAAGTTATGAGAATGTGACTTCTCTCTCAAACTCTCTTACTATACTGATCTTCTTGAGACAGTGGGAGGTGACACAATGCCTCTGTGATGAGGTGCAGCCCAATGTTGGGCTATATTTAAGGGTTACTTGGACACAAGCACTGTGATATCCACAAAAGTAAAATCTGATAACCAAACAGTATACTAAGTGACTAATGGGTAAGTAGTATATCTAGCAAGGATGTCCTGAACAAAGCAATGGCTCATATTCCGAGCAGGATGGAGCAGATTGGTACCAGATTTCATTTTGCTACTCAGAGAAGCATTGCCTTAATTACATTTTCATCACTGGGACAAAATACCCAGCATGCAGCTAGGTCAGCTGACTCCACGACAGAAAGGGCTTGGTGGAAGAGCATGCAGAGGAAAGGTGCTCATCTCATGGCAGCCAGGAGACAGAGAGAGAAGGGAGGAGCCAGGAACTAGAATACGCCCTCCAGGTCATAGTCCCAGTAGCTACCTCCAACTATACCCCACCTCCTCACAGCACTTTCAGCACTGAACTCATCCTTGGATAAAGCCATGGGTGAGAATGGTGTCCCCAGGACCCAATCACCTTCTAAACACACGAGAGTTTGAGGGGGGAGCATTTTAGAACTAAATCCTGACAGGCATGCAATTCAAAACTTATATTTAAAAAATCTCCTCCTAATTAATGTTTTCAGGCATTAGTTGACTGCAGGTAAATGAAACCATGGAAAGCAAAATTATGGATAACAGGAGGACTATTATAGTTCAATCCCTTGTCAGTTGCATACATCTCCAGTCGCAGGTGCCCCTGTCAAGCAATTTTTCGGACAGTGCTTGAATACCTCCAGTGATGGGGAACTTGTTATCTATGAGCTGTGCTTTTCAGTTTGGACTTCTTCAATCACAAGTGGTCTGGCTGAGCCAAGGAGAGGAGAGTCATGTGCTTAAGGCCTACCCAGCTATGTTGCTCAGCCATCCAAATCTCAGCCTTTGTAGAAACAGGGCTGTACAAGGCATGTCTCCAGCCAACTCTGTGGGGTTTCGTGAGTATCACCAGGGGTGGGGAGAGAGGTGGAAAATGAGCCTAGAGAATCTGGCTATTAAACACATTACCTGCATTTATGGTTCTTGTGCCCCAAGGCCCGGGATAAAGTGAAGAAGGAAAAACATTCCACTCTGGCTCTCAGTGACCCCTAAAAGAAACACCCTATGGAGTCATTTGGGATAGTAATTTGAGTATAAACTCAAGCATGCGTTCCTAGCCTTCCCTCCATAAACGCAGGAGCCGCATGATGATCAGCACCAAATTGCTTGAAAATGTGGCTCAGAACCTTTCCAGATGAGGGTCGAGCTCAAAGAAATAAAAAGTTAAGGGCATGTTGCTATGGCATTAACATTAAGGGAGCATGCACGAACCTCAAACTGTGCACAGAAAATATGTGCTTTCTGTATGCTCTGCCCATGAAAAGCTAAACCAGCACAAAGTCATTAAAATGTCAGACAAGGAGCCAGGTGGGAAAAATGCATGTTTAAAAGTAAACATGTAGCCTGTGACAACTGTGTCCCCTGAAAAGCTAAAGGTGAAGGAAAGAGAAAGGAATGGGAGGAAAGAGAAAGACAGAGTGAGTGAGGCTGCAGTGTTCCTTCCTGCCCTAGTCTTTGCCCTGTGGGGGTACAGCATCGTCTTTACATGGTTGCTTGAGCAGAGCTCTTAAGAACCATCCTTTATCTTTCCTTTTCATTAGTTCTCTGCTTTTAATTAATTAGTGTGGTCTGAGTCCTGATTTACCTCTAAAATATTAGGTTGAATCATATAAAGTTGCCAATTTTATAGCTTCTTCAACTTATGGAAATCTGAACCATCCTATGTGGTTCCACCTAATGAAATCCCAAACCAGCTCTGTGTCCATCTCCACGGTCACCATCCTGGCTTAAGCCAGCATCAACACTTGCATTAACTGTTCAGTAGACTCCCAGTTGAACTCTTGGTTCCCACCTTTTCCTTTATCAGTCCTTTATTCTTATTTTAGAAACTAAAGTAGATCATGTTGATCCTCTGCTTAAAATACTTGCGTTAAATCTGATTTTAAAAACCTGTACATTAAAAACTACAAAGCACTGAGAAAGTTTGAAGAAGACCTAAGGAAGCGAAGAGTGGTACCACATTCTTGGGTCGGAAGTCTCAGTGTTCTTCTCATCAAATTGATCTATAGATCTATAGATACTGACTTTAGGCAATTGCAGCAAGCTTTTGTTTTGTAGAAATTGACAAGTTGATTTAAAAATTCACATGGAAACCCAAAGGGGCTCAAAGAGGGAAAACAATTTTTGCAAAAGAGCAGAGAGGGAGACTCATACTCCTGGATTTAGAAACTTGTAAGAAAGCTATAGTAAAGAAGAGAGCATGGTGTTAAAGAAAAGGTAGACAGATGAATGGAGCAAAATACAGAGCTCAGAAATAGACCCACACATACACAGAAAATTTATTTCTGACAGAGGTGTGCACAGGAAATTCAGTAGGGTAAGAACAGTCTTTTTCAACAAATGGTGGTGAAATAATTAGACAATTACATGGAAAAAATATACTTGTGTTCCAACCGCACAATATATAAAATATTTAACTCAAAACAAATTCTAGGCTCATATTTAAAACATGAGATTATACAACATCTAGGAAATAAAGGAAAGAAAAGAATTTGGCCTTAATTTAGTCACACATTTTTTGGATATGATACCCAAAACATAATCCATAAATAATAGGTTAGATTTCCTCAAAATTTAAAACTTCTGCTTTGCACAAAACAATGAAAAGAGAATATAGGAGGAGCAAATATTTGCAAATTGCATGTCTGATAAATTGCACTTACACATAACCTTCAATGATAAGAAAACAAAAATAAACAGTTCAATAAAAAATGGGCCAAGGTTTGAATACATACTTAGCCAAAGATGGTACATAGAAGGCAAAGAAATACAGGAAAAGATGTTCAATTTTATTAGCCACGTGGGAAATGTGAATTAAAAGCACAGTGAGATGCCACTATACATTTATTAGGATGGTTACAATTAAAGAGATGTAACATATGAAGTGTTGGTAAAATGTAGAGGAATTTGCACTGTTGGTAGGAATATAAGATAATATATAGTATGGATTCTTCAGGAAATTGTTTGGTAGTTTTCTAAAAAGTTAAGCATATACTCACTATGTGGCCTAGCCAGTCAACTCTCGCTATTTAATCATTAAAAAATGAAATTGTATGTCCACATAAAATCTTTTACCTGACTGTTCATTGCAGCTTTATCTGAAATGTTCTAAAACTGGACCTAATCCAAAGGTTTATCAGCAGGTGAACTGATCAAACATCTGTGGCATGTCCATACCACAGAACACTACTGAGCAAGAAAATAAATTATGGACTTTTTCTACAATACAGATGAATCTCAAAATAATTATGCTGAGTAAAAACAACAACAAAAAAAACCAAAAAAAAAAAACAAAAAAAAAAACAAAAAAAACAAGGATGCAGAAGATAATAGTCCTGTTTGAATATATTCTATAAAATGTAAAGAAATTTTTTGTGAAAGAAAGTAAATCAGTGGTTGTTTGGGTAATGATAAGGTGAGATGGAGGCAGGAATAAAGGTTCAGAGGAATTTCATAGGACCAGGAGTCTCCTGCATGTGAACGGAATGTCATCATCTTGATCATAGCGATGGTTTCACAGGTACATCTCTCTTCTTGCGCCTTTTCTTCATCTTTGCCCTCTATCTTTCCTTTTATTCTTCTGTTTTTATTTTTTAAAAACCTGTTTAACAAGACTTATCCTGTGAGAGTCATGTCAGCAAAATGGCAGATTAGGAAGCTCTCCTTGTTCCCTTATCCAAATATCAAAAAATAAAACCACCACAAACTGGTTAATGTAAATGTATAGGAGTGTTCGCAAACAGCTACAGATTTGTGCAATCAAGAAAGCCTCCAAAATAGGTTGAGGATGTAGATCCCAGGGCAATGAAACAGAAAACAAATCAAGACAAACAAAAATCCCGCAAAAACAAAACAAAACAAAAAAGCCCCACAAAAGAACCGAAGTTTTCAATGTAGAAACAAAGTTCATTTAAAATGGCAGGAACTTTTACAGCGCTGTTGCTTGCCTTCCTTCATCCCTTTCCCAGTGCAGTGTCATCTGGGGCTGGAGGAGGTGACATCCCAGCTTTCCATTCCTTCCTTCACTCTGCAGGGAACGCAGGCCTTCTTTACAATAGTAACCCATCTGAGGACTCTCAGAGGGATTGCACAGGTCTTGTTTTGCTTCACACAGGTCTCAGGTAAGAAGAAGCAATGGATGGTGCTTGAGACGGAAAGCTACAGAGAGACTGATCCTCAGTCTCAGATGATGGAGCAGGAGAGTGAGGGTGGAGATGCACAACAGAATATACAAGGAGAAGCTCAGGTGAGATTTTGTATGGGGGAACTGAAAAAGTGACACAAACACACAGCCAAGAAAACATGCTCAGTAAAGGCCTGAGAAAACTTTAAAATTTTTCCTCAGCTTGGTCTTAAGACTCAGAAAATTAGTGAAGGACTTCCCTGGCATAGCTAATCTGTCTCAGCTGGGGGAGATACTGTCTGATTTTCAACAACACGACAAATCCCAAGAGACACAAAGAGATGGGGAAGCATGGTACACACATTTCCTGAAGAAGCACAGATGTCACATTTTCTAGACAAAGACTTAAAAGAATTTAAATGAGCTCACATTGCTAACGGAAAATATGGACAAAAATTGAAGGTAATCATGAAAATGTGGTATGGAGAAAACGAAGATACTATCAAAATAAAGAAATCAAAACAGAAACGAAATAGAATTTCTGCACCTGAAAAATACAACATCTGAGTTGAAAAATTCCCTAGGGTATACAACTGTAAACTTAAACAGGCAGAAGAAAGAATCAGTGTACTTGAGGATAGGAATTTAAAAGTGAGTCTGAGGAGCAACAAGGAAAAAGAATAACATAAATGATCAGAGCCTTAGGTACCTGTGGAACAGCGTCATGTACACTATCATGTGCATTGTGGGTGTTTTAGGAGAGGACAGAAAGAGAAAAGGAGATTATTTGAGGGAATGATGGTTGAGCACTTTCCAAATTTGAGGAAATAAATAGACATACAAATTTGAAGAACTTAATAACTTCTTAGTAGAATAAGCACAAACGAACTTACATTTAGACACATGATAAAACAGTTGAAAGCCAAAGACTGAGAGAATCTTGGAAACAACAAGAGAAAATGAACTTGTCATGTACACAGGATACTTAACAAAATAATTAACTGAGTTGTCAGCAGTAAAAGTGGAAATCAGAAGGGAGTGGAGCGATATATTTAAAGTGCTGGATGAAACAATATAAGGGTATTTTGTATGTGGTACAACTTTAATGCAAAAGTGAGGGAGAAATGAAGACATTTGCAGGTGAACAAAAGTTAAGGGGATTCATTACCAATAGATTTGCCCTACAAGAAATGTTGCTGGAAGCCTTTCAAATTGAAATGAAAAGACGCTGGGCACTAACTCAAAGCCATGTGAAGCATAAAGATTTCCTGGTAAAGGTAAATAAATGGGCAAATATAAAAGAGCTATTATTATTATTTTGACTTATAATTCTACTTTTTATTTTTTACAAGATTTGAAAGACAAATGAACAAAACAATTGTAAGTATATTTTAATGAGTATATAATATACAGTATAAAGATATAATAGGGATGGAGCTATAGAATTCATATATGATATTGAAGTCAAGGTCGTATCAATTTCAAACAGACTATTATACATTTAGATGTTAAGTGTAATCTCTCAACAAAATACTTTCAAATACAGTTCAATTCAGCAGCATATTAAATGGACTATATAGCATGACCAAATGAGATTTATTCCTGGAACACAAGGGTGCTTCAGCATATGGAAATCTATGTGATATTGCAATACAATGAAGGAAAGAAAACACTTTTGTAATGTCAACTGATGCAAAGAAAACATCTGACAAAACTCAACACTCTTATGAGAAATATTCAAGAAACTGGGAACAGAAGGCCATAATGAAAACCCCACAACTAACCTCATAGGCAACAGTAAAAGTTGAAAAGTTTTACTATAAATCAGGAAAAAGTTGAGGATGAATGCTTTTTATCAATTCTATTCCATTAGACAAGAAAAAGACACAAAGTCATCTAAACTAGACAGGAAGAGGTAAAATTATTTCTGCATGTAGATATCAGATTTTAAATGTAGAAAATAGAATAGGTTCACAAAAACAAATGAAAATCTTAGAACTAATAGTTTCAAATCAGCCTGAGCTACATAGTGAGTCCAAGGCCAGCCTGAAGTATATAGTGAGACCTTGTCTCAAAAACAAAAACAAGAGCCAAAAGAAAATACCCTCTGAATTCAGTAAAATAGCAGAACACAAAGTGAACATGTAAAAATCAGTTTCATTTTTAAATACCAGCAATGTACAAAATATAGAGAAAATTATGAAATTCCATTTACAATAGCATGAAAAAGAATACAATACTTAGGAATTAGCCAAGACCAGGAAAGGCTTATACAAGGAAAACTACAAAACATTGTGAAAAGAAATTAAAGAATATATAAATGTGAAAATATAGCCCATGTGCAGGGATTATAAGACTTAACATTGTTAAAATGTCACTAACCGAGACAATGTACAGAACAACTGCAATTCCAACATTTTTTTTGTACCAATAGAAAAATCCATTCTAAACTCCCTATGATCTGTCAAGGCATTTGAAATAACCAAAGTAATCTTGAAAGAAGAAAAATGCTATAGATCTTATCTTTCCTGGTTTCAAAGTCAACTGCAAAACTACGGTAACCAACACAGCATGGTACTGCCATAAAGACAGACATATAGGCCATGAGATAGACTGGTAAGTCTAGAAATAAACCCTGGCTTGTGTGACCAAATAATTTCCCTCAAGGGTGCTAAGACCATGCAATGGAGGGAAAAAGAGTCTGTAACAAATGGGGCTGGGAGAATTAAAGATCCACATACAAAAGAATGAAATGGAACATTTACAGCATATAAAAAATTTAACAGAAAATATATCAAAGGAAAAATATACCAAAGACTTCATTGTAAGAGCTATCATTATAAAACTCTGAGAAAAAATATGGCATAAAACTTAAGAACATTGGATTTCCAATGATTTGTTTGTCATACTACCAAAAACATAGGAAAAGAACCAAAACTAAAAAAGCATAGACAAATTAGAATTCATTGAAATTTAAAACTTGTGTATCAAGGAACATTACCAAGAGAAGAAAAAGTGTACACAGGCCAAGAGAAACATTTTCAAATGACATATATGATAAAGGATTAATATCAGTTGCATGTAAAAACTCCTACAACTCAGCAACAACACAATGAGTTAAAAAGTAGGCAAAGAACCTGAACGGACATTTTTCCAAAGAAGATAGTACAAAGATGAACGAAGTCCATGAAAAGATGTTCAGCCTTCTTGATTATTTGGGAGATGAAAGTCAAAACTATGTGAGAGCCTGTGGCACACCCTGTAGGAAGTAGAAGAATCAGACCCTCTCTGCTTTGCTTGTGGGAGTGTAAAATCCAGGCACTATGGGAAAGGTATGGCAGTTCCTCCAAAAATCAACATGGAATTACTACATAATCCAGCAATTCCACTTCTGGATTTATACCCACAGAATTGAAAGCATGACCTTAAATATATATTTGCAAACTCATGTTCATAATAACATTATCCACAATATTCAAAAAGGAAAGTGTAACCCAAATATCCATCATGGAAGAAGGAGTAAGCAAAATGTGTTACATCCATATTTGTTATGGTTTGGGGGATAGTGCAATGGGAACAATATAATACAGGGCATATATTTTATAAGATTATTTATAACAGTCACCCAAAGAATTCAATACAAGAGGGTGCAGGAAGTCTGTCCACACACTAAAGAGCAAAGACTCTTGACCAGCTGAGGGCCTGGATCCTACCATAATGTCCCGCATGAGTCCAGCTGAAGACCAAGAGCTCATCACAATGCCTCCCACGAGTCTAACAGGAGGCCTAGAGCCCATAACAGTAGCTCCTCTGATGATGCAGACAACTGAGTTCTCATCAGGAAAGCCAATACACAAACTTCTCCAGGAGACTGGCGGTGCATCATCTTCCCCTCCAAAGCCAGGAAGCGATGCACAGAGTGAGGACCAGAGCTTCCTCAAAGAGAACCGAAGCTATTCTCAGTGCCGACAAGGTCCAGAGCTCCTCAGAGGATGAAAACAGCTAAGTTCACCAGGAAAGCCAGCATGACAGTTCCTCCGAAACAACCAACAGCTCCTTACAGCTTCTCTCAGCTCCCAACAGCCTCACTTCTTCTTCTCCAGTTCTGCCTCTTATGCTGCTGGCAACAGTCCTCAAGCAGCCTCCCACACCCAGCACCACACTTTCTCAGTCCAACTGGGTGTTATAAGTTGTCAATCCACTATAATATTATTAACCACTTTACAGAAGAAAGGGGATTCTGACACATGCTATAATAAGAACGGACCTTCAAGACATTATGCTAAGTAAAATAAGCCAGTCATAAGGGACAAAAAATGTGACAGTCCACTTATAAGATGTATCTAGAGTAGTTAAATTCATAGAAAATAGAATGGTGGTTGATGAGGGGAGGGAACAAGAAGAAATGGGGAGTTAATGTTGAGTGGGAGGAAAATTAGCTGGGATGATGAAAATGTTGTGGAGATAGTTAGTGATGATTGTGCAGACAGTGGGAATGTACATAAATGTTATTGTGCTATACATGAAAAGGATATGTTTATATACACAATTAAAGAAAAAATAAAGCCTTGCACAGAAAACCGGTATTTTGTGGCTTCCCATCACACTTAGAATAAAACTCAATTTCCTTACGTTGTCAGCAAGGTCCTCCCAAATATTTCCCCACCTGAGCTTTCTGACCTCACCTGGTCCCACATATCTCTTCACTCACTGCTCTTCAGCCACATCTTTTCTGTTCCTCCAGCATGTGAAGATGCTCCTGTCTCAGGGCTTTGCACCTACTGTTTCCCCTGCCTAGAAGATTCATCTGCTGTGCAGCTCCCTGAAGATCTCTGTCTTGTCCATCCAGTGTCCATTCACACGTCATCTTATCAAAAAAACACTCCCCTATTCCACTAACTTAAGATCACACATCTCAAGTTACTTTATCTTTTTTTCCTGGAAGTTGTTTTCTTTATTATGTCACAGATCATTGTCTCTTTCCTTTATGATATTTCTCACAATCAAACATTGTATTGCCTTTGTAATTTTTGTTGACTTTTGTTCATTTTACACTAACATAATATCTATTGCTAGATATTATTCTAGGTTCAGAATTACACTGATAAAATCAATAATCCAGGCTTGTTTCAGTGGAGGGGGGATACAGGCACACAGGGTACATTAGTAAAATGTGTATTTTACTTGACTGCAATAAGTGTTAAGGACACAAATTTTTAAAGATCAAAATAGAGCCCAACAAGCTCCAACAAGTGTTCAAATGAACAATTTACTTATTTATTAGTTCACTTTCATTAAAATGTAGGCTTCTGAGGGCAGAAATCTTCTCATTTTGTTTACCCCTATATTTCTAGTGTCACTAATATTTATGAATGAATGCTGTGTAGATTGATAATGATCCAACCTGAACAAGAGATTGCAGTAGGGACACTTGGAGGGGAAAATTGTTTACAGAGGGGTGATCTCAGCCTACTAATCCAGGAACTAACTAACTTCCTTCCTTCCTTCCTTCTTCCTTCCTTCCTTCCTTCCTTCTTTTCTTCTTCCTTCCTTCCTTCCCTCCTTCCTTCTCTCCTTCCTTCCCTCTTTCTTTCTTTCATAGTGGTAAAACATATAGTCATTGTACCAACTCCCCATCTATTCCTTTTCTGCCCCATGGTAATCACCCTGCTACTCTCTGCTTCCATGCTTTTGACTACCCTAGTTACCCTGTAAAATGGCACCATGTGTATTTGTCCTTTTGTGTCTTATTGGTTTAGATCATTTAGCATAATGATTTCAAGGTTCATCCATGTTGTAGCTTGTGTAAGAGTCTCACTCCTTTTCAAGACTGAATAACATTCTACTGTTTGTATGTACCCAAGAGAGCTCAATAACCTTGGACAAATTTGTGATGGGCGAAGCTAGGGCAGCTCAACCATGAACTCCTTAAGGCTGGAAATTATGACTGCCTCAGTCAGGCAGAGCCCAGTGCCCAGGGTCAGCACAGAGGAGGTGCCTATTACCCTGAGACAGAGGAAACCTACAGTTCCTTGACCTTATCTTGACTTTCAGGAATTTCCCTTATTCTTTGGTAAGTGAAGGTCACATAAGGGGAGGTCCCCCTGACAGGGAGACACGTGAAATGATCCCAATAGGCCCAATTTGCTTTCATTCATCTGTAATGAGGAGTTAGATGGAACTGGCACAGATAGATCATCCCTTTCTCCTCAGGCAGATAAAAGTGTTGCCAGGGACAGGATGAGACAGAAATTGGACTCTCAGCTTCCTTTTAAGTGCCTGTGAGACTCACGTGGCACTGGGCTTGGGATTTTGTTTTCTAGGATTTTGTTTTCTTGCTCTGCTCATCAGAGATAGTTCTATTCTTTCTTCTTCTCCCTCTGTCTTTATCTCTCACTTTGAGTTTGGGCTTTCTTTTCCCCTTCCTGGCCAGGGATGCAGGTGAGGTTGTGTAACCATGGCTGCCCACAGCAGAGTGAAGAACAGGATGAACAAGCATACCATAGACCTGGGCAAGCACAGACAGTGCCCAGCCAGGCCAGAGTTCCTCGCCGCCAGGAGTGTTGGGGACTGAACCAGCTCAGAGCATTTCCCCTAGTCATGTTTACGCTGTCACGCTGTGCAAATTGGAGAGTTTATTTCCAGGAACATCTGGGAGGACCAGCTGGACACGTGCTTCCCTTCTCATTAATTTAGGCTCCTAATTAATCGTGCAAAACCCAAACCAAATAAGCAGTAACCAGGACTGAAAATAATCATTAGGCCCCCCAAACACACACTCTTTTTAATGAGAACTTGGCCCAGGTGATGGGCCCTCTCTTGGCTCAGCACTGGGGCTGTAGGCTGGGAATTTACCAAGGAGAAATAGTAGGGAAGCAGAGAGATATAGGCCCTGTGCTGGGCATCACATTAGCGCCAGGCGATTCTGGGATGGGCTCCAATAATTCATAGGGAATGGAATTTCCCTGAGTCAGGTGCGCTGTGGGCACAGCATGGATTCA